TTATGATCAAATTACGGTAGCTATGTGTTGTATTGTGGTTATGAAAAGTGTCCGGAGATGAATAGAATCAATTTGAGCACCTATTGCAACTTAAGGGGTGTGGGGAGAGTTAAAAGGGCGCCAATGTGCTTTAGCTTCCAGTTTCCCGGGGCTAATCTTTCTGTGTCTGTATGTGCGCGTAGTTATGTTGTGTTAAACAATTTAAGATCATGTAACATCAAAGATATACTATGAAAGACACAAAAACACTAAACATATGTAGCCCGTGGCGCTCAGTGGCTGAAATAGACAACATGAAAAGAACTTGAAAGCTGATTAATATTACAGAAGGAAAAAAAAACATATACAGAAAAGAATAAGATAGCCAGTAAAAACAAAAGAGGGGGAAAAGGGGGGGGGGGGGAGTTGACAATACAAAATAATATCGGCAGTAAAATATTATATACATATATAAGAATCAATGTTTGTGTGTTTGTTTATGAGCTATAGACTCGGAAACTACTGAACCGATTTAGCTGAAATTTTCAGGATATGTTTGTTTTGATACCGGATGTTTACCCATCATGGTTTGAAATTTAACCTGTCATTGTTAGAGATAGGTGACCACAATTTTTGGAAAAATCTTCGAAACTAATAATTCCATTTTTAGTGACATTTAGTGGCGCGGTGATTTATGTCACAGGCGTGAGGGGAAGTTAAGTCCAACTTGATGTGTATAAGGAGATACTCCGTACGTCACTCGGGCGCCAGTCCTTTACTATCCTGGTTGTACGGAACCTCACGCAAGACCCCTACAGCACGTCCTCGTCGTGCGCCACGGATAATGTCTCAAATGAGCATTAACAGAGCTGTCAGGGGATCTCGGAGTTTGGCGGCCCCCAGAGGTGATGTGTCCTTGTGGCTCAGAGTAGTAGACATTAACCATATTAGACACGTGCGATTTCTATTGTCTTTCTTTTACAAAAGCCTTTAAATGAAAGAGAGAGTAGTAGGTGGATTTAGTTGTGGTGGTGGGGGCGGGGGGAATCAAAGACTATCCCTATATCTGAGCAGACAATGATTGCGACAATAACCATATTAGACAAGTGCGATTTCTATTTTCTTTCTTTTCCATGTAGCCAATATATGCCACAGCAACGCGTGGCCGGGTACAGCTAGTTTATAATAAAAACAGCATAGAATTATAAGGACAGTAAATAGTGCTTTGAAAAGTACAGAAAAATAGCAAATTAAATTTGCAGCCTACAGTGTCGTCCAATAGACTGAAATCAGTAGTTTAACGACGGAACTATATACTTTTTGTCCACATATGGGGGGAATACAATAGCTCAACGTATTTAGAAACAAATAATTTACCAGTGGTAAAAAATTCGACGTCCTTTCCGCCATTTTGGACCCGAAGTCAACATAGAGGTGGCTTTTGATGCAAATTTTTTTCAGATTATGTTTTTGTTTGGACAGGGATGGGGCAACTATGGACTGACCTGCTTGTCGGGACAGTGGAAAGACAACTAACTGATTGACTAACGAACACTAAATATTATGATGGACAGTACAGACAATTAGACAGCACGTGATAAAATGGACTGTTGAAATGTAGAATCTTCTTCTCAAAGTGTGTTACGTAGGTAGTAATCCCCAACCTTCTGTCTTATTTGCTTTCAAATAACTGTGACACAGATCCATGTCAATGCCATGTTGTCAGACCATCCAGCATCGGTTCTCTTGGTCTCCCTCTGCCTCTCCTCCCCTCCAACTTTCCTACTGTAACAATATACTCTAGTTTTTTTCTTCTCGTTACACGACCACAAAATGTAGATTGTCTTTTTCTGATGTGGGCAATTAGTTCTCTTGATGGGTCACTTTATTTCAAGATATCTTCTGGACTCTTTTCCTCTGTTCAGGATATTCGCATCTTTCGTCGATTAAACCAAATCTCCACAAGCAACTTTTTTTTTCGATTTTCAACTGCCAATGGATTGTTCTATGTGCGCAACAATACACACGGGCGTCTCATTTTACAACCCAGAGACCAGTAGATTCATTTCACGGCGGCGCCGTTTAGTTCACGAGTGCAATATTTACAGAGATCCCTGGGTATAGTCGCCTGAACTTCGGAGGTCGTACTCTTAGCAGCCAGCTAGCTGATCTGTAGAGAGAGACTGAGCCAAATGGAATAAAACTCGGTGCAAATAAGGCGATTCTCTTACCTTTACAATTACTTTTCCCTTTATTTTCACTTGAACTCCAAGCTAACTCGTAAAAGTCTAGCTGTAAACCATAAAACGACGGAGCAATCATCTTTATAAAAGGTAAACTTGGAAGACGAAGAAGAAATTGTTAAAGAGCTAAACAGGTGGTTGAGTAACCAGTCTCTATGCGGTGGCATTCGGCTGAGTTGTTGAACATTTTTGTATTTCAGATTTGTGAGACCCCTTTGTGCCTGAAGACATCCTCCAGCATCTTGTCGCGAATGAACGCCAGTGCCAACCCATGCGAGGTGAGTCGATCAATGTGTCTTTGTGTGTTTAAACTAGGGAAAACATAGTGCTTGTTACAGCACTGTGGGTTGTGTTTTTCATGTGGAATGCCTTTCATTTGTGAAGCGGCTGTGTCATAGTATTCAGCATGCCCGGTTGCCTGTTTACACATGAGCTGATGATATGCCCTATTTAATAACTCTACTTGTGCATAGCCAACTTATCGTGCCTGACTACTTCCATCAGATACAAATTGTATATCTATTGGCGACTTTTGGCTTTGTCAAATCTAGCAACTGTCATATGCATTTACTGCTTCAACATATTTCCTGATCGTGCTGGGACAATTATTAGTTCACCGGTGTGTGTGTGTGTGTGTGTGTGTGTGTGTGTGTGTGTGTGTGTTTTAAATGAGGTAGTAAGGGACATTTTCATTTGATTTGCACTGGCACAGGAACTTAGCAAGTATGGGGAAACCCGATTGCGGTGAAGTTAAAACCTCGATTAAGACAAAGATTAAGACTAAAACTAAGAATCGAGTAAAAAGCCGTTGGTGACTCCGGCATATGGTGCTAGACCTATAGTTGTATGGCAGTCACCGTGGTGTAGTGGCGAGACGCTCGCCTGCGGATCTAAAGGTCGGTGATTCAGGTCCTAACGAAGTCAGACTTTTTTCAAAAATGACCTTGGCTTCCAGGTCGACCAAGCCGTGAGTGGGTACCCCCTGCAGTTCCATGAAGTAAAGGCGGCCGGCGTGATGGTGACCACATCACTCATCTTGTGCCGATTGGTCTATAAAATGTATGTCTAACCCTATATGCCTTATACGCATGAGCCTTTACTTTTACTATTGATTTATAGAACAATTGGCGTGGACTACATCACGTCGGCCGCCTTTACTTTCTAGGCCATTACCTGTTACCCATTTTAGGTTGTGTAGACCTGACAGCCAAGGTCAGTTTGGACATAATCCGCGGATTTGCACCATAGACCATAGCGTTGACAGGAAATCGTTAAGTTACAACTCTACCGCTGATCTCCAAGATCTCGAGCAGTACATATTTATTTTAGATGCTACCACCAAAAAACAAAACAACAACAAAAAAGTATTTTTCTCTTAGCTTCGGGAATTGGTACAAGAGTGACACGGTACAAGAGTGACACGGTACAAAAGTGACACGGTACAAAAGTGACACGGTACAAGAGTGACACGGTACAAGAGTGACACGGTACAAGAGTGACACGGTACAAGAGTGACACGGTACAAGAGTGACACAGTACCAGAGTGACAAGGTACAAGAGTGAAACGGTACAAGAGTGACACGGTACAAGAGTGACACGGTACAAGAGTGACACGGTACAAGAGTGACAGGGTACAAAAGTGACAAGGTACAAGAGTGACACGGTACAAGAGTGACACGGTACAAGAGTGACACGGTACAAGAGTGACACGGTACCAGAGTGACACGGTACAAGAGTGACACGGTACCAGAGTGACACGGTACCAGAGTGACACGGTACCAGAGTGACACGGTACAAGAGTGGCAAGGTACAAGAGTGGCACGGTACAAGAGTGGCACGGTACAAGAGTGACACGGTACAAGAGTGACACGGTACAAGAGTGACATGGTACAAGAGTGACACGGTACAAGAGTGGCACGGTACAAGAATGGCACGGTACAAGAGTGACACGGCACAAGAGTGACACGGTACAAGAGTGACACGGTACAAGAGTGACACGGTACAAGAATGACACGATACAAGAGTGACACGGTACAAGAGTGACACGGTACAAGAGTGACACGGTACAAGAGTGACACGGTGGAAGAGATTAAGGCCATCAGCACATACTATTTCTAATAAAAGTGCAGACAGTACACAATTTTGTTTTCATGGGACAGCTTGTAAAAAAGTGTAAGATCAACCGAGAAGTAGTTGTCATCCGAGACACCGTGTCACTTTTTAATGGGCAGTCCTACCTAGAAATGTGAAAACTATCTCAAATTCTCGATTAAACACATTATATGCCGCTAACCCTGCATATAAACATGTCTATTTTCATACGCAGATTGAAATTTAAAAATGTGATTAGCAGAATCTTAGATATTTTGTTTATAAATGAGTTTTTGTGGGTAGATAAAAGTCACAATTTGAAAGAAAAACCTATAAATTTTTTTTCTTCTTCTTCTTCGTCATTTTAATTGTACTCATCAATCCAAAACAATGAACCACTCCCCCCTTGGGGGGGGGGGGGGAGACTTTACTATAAATAATAATTACTCCATCACTTCTGATAATTGCATTTATTCTGTTTGTTTACAATGCGTTTGAGGTGTGTTTAGTTTTATATGTTGTGATATCTGGTCAATATTAAGTTCAGAACTGTGCCATTTCCAAAACAGAAGAGTAAATCCACAAAAAAAGCAGAGATCAGTTTACTTCTGGTTCAAAGCGATCCTAACTGGTAAACTTTCAGTCAGGCCCTCATGTCTGCTTTAAAACTGGTAAACTTTCAGTCTGGCCCTCGTGTCTGCTTCAAAACTGGTAAACTTTCAGTCAGGCCCTCTTGTCTGCTTCAAAACTGGTAAACTTTCAGTCTGGCCCTCGTGTCTGTTTCAAAACTGGTAAACTTTCAGTCTGGCCCTCGTGTCTGTTTCAAAACTGGTAAACTTTCAGTCTGGCCCTCGTGTCTGTTTCAAAACTGGTAAACTTTCAGTCTGGCCCTCGTGTCTGTTTCAAAACTGATACTTGCAAAGTTTCTGATAACGAGCCTTGTACGAGGGTCGCCTAAGACCATTCTTCTTCTTCTCCTTCACTTCCTCTTTTACCGCTGTGGGTGTCGAGGGAGATATAAGGTTCTGTTTCTAGCTCTTCTGGCTGCCTCGACCATAGGCACATCGTGCTGTTGTAGAGTTTCTTTGATGTTATCCTTCCATCTTGTTCTTGGTCTACCCCGTGCTCTACGTCCTTCTTCTCTTTCCATGCATGCTTTGTATGGTATGGTGTCACAAGGCATTCTCTCTAAGTGGGCAAACCATTTCACTTGCTGTCTTTGTGTGTAATCCAGAATTGGTTCTGTGCCGACTTGTTCTCTTATGATCTCATTCCTGATCTTATCTCTTATGGTCACTCCTACAGCCCTTCTCAGACATCTCATTTCCGTGGTTACTAATTTTCTTTTATGGTTTGTTGTGAGTGACCATGTCTGGCACTGGTAGCACAGAGTTGGAATAACTATGCTTTGAACAAGATGTCTCTTTGTGCTGATTGGGATTGTCTTATGCTGTAAGAGGGGGGCTAGCTGTCCCAATACTTGGTTTGCTTTACTGCATCTAATGTCAATTTCTTTATCAAATTTCCCATCTTCAGTAAATGTAGTTCCCAGATATTTAAACTCAGATGACTGTTTAATGCCTTTGTATTCTATTGCTATGTTTAGATCTGTCTTCTTTTTTCCTATCGACATTACTTCTGTCTTTTCAGTGTTGATTCTCATATTTTTTGTTTTACATTCTTCATTCATGGGTGTTAGATGTTGTTGCAATTTCATGGCTGTATCTGCTATCAAGGCCTGGTCATCTGCAAAGATTAATTCGTTGATATTACTAAGATCTTCATTCATGGGCTTGGCATTCTTGCATATACTGTAGATATAGGTGATAAACAGCAGTGGTGATAAGACACGCCTGTCTTACTCCAGATGTCACTGTGAAAGGATGAGATGTTCCCTGATTTATTCTAACTACACTTCTACAATCACTGTCTAAACTTTTGCACACTTCGATGAGGTGTTCGCTTACTCCATATCTTGCCATTATTTTCCATAATAATTGTCTGTCGACTCTGTCAAATGCCTTCAAAGGTCTACGAATGCCACAAAAAAGTTCTTATTGTATTCAATGTTCTTTTCTATTAATTGTTTAAGTGTGAAGATTGCATCTGTGCAGCTTTTATTTCGCCTAAATCTCATCTGTTCTTCTGCCAGCTGTGGTCCTATCACTGGTCTCAGTCTTGTTTCTATTATCTTGGCACACATTTTGCTAACATGGCTTAAAAGAGAGATGCCAAAGACCATTGGAAAACACATATCGACTGAATTTATGAAGTAGCAACGAAAATTGAGGAACTGTATTAAAGAGTCGCGGCATTAGGAAGGTGGAGAACCACTAATCTAGAGGTTCTTTGCATTATTTAATACTAGTGGAATCGCCATGCATTTACTCTTCAATCAACCTACTTACACGAAAGAAACAGCTATAGTCCTTTCCAAAAGTCCTGCTAGATTTTAAAAATCTGTAACCCCGTAACCGTTCGGTGTCAGTTGTGGATGTGTAGCATGCAGCCTGTTACTAGTCATATCTTTGTCAGAATTTGTTTAAAAAAAAAAAAAAGAAACATTTAGCTTCCATTTAATATTTTTACGGAATGTGACAAAAAAGACACTGATTCACACCAAACAATCAGCATGCTTACAATTACTTCAGTGAATTGAGTGAGCCTAAATTTTCAAAACATTACATTGCATGCTTGTCAAAGGATTTTTCATCTCAGGGGATCAACTCCAGCAAAGGGGTTTTTACTTTTACTTTTATATGAACGTCAGACATGTAAATACCACCTTGCCTCTGACATTATTATACTCACACACTAAATGCAATTTTAATATCATATTTTCTCATCCAAAGTATCCGCCACAAGGAAACATTTGTGTTAGTGTTCAGTAATGGCTCACTGGCCTTATCATTGTTTAAGTGTACTATCAAAATAACAATAATAATATAAATAATAATAATACTAATAAAACAACAATAATACGTGTAAAACTAAGTAAATATTGTAAAATTTTTAAAGCATTATGAAATGTCTAGCAACAAATAATTCAAAAATGTTTATATTATTTTGAGGTGGGTCAATTATTTACCTTGCAAATCTTACAGACGGGTTCATGGGTGGGTAAGGGTACATAGTCCCTGTATTCATGAGGCCCGCTCCTAATTATTTCCTATATATCAGACAACGA